AAGTCAGCAGGAAGAGCCAAAGCTGCGCAGTTTACTAAACGGTAGCAACCTCTTAAAGTTATTCTCGACTGTGTTGGATTGACTGCTTTGATGCATTGCAATACGGTAGGGCATTGTTTTGATGCTTACATCAGAAAAAAAATCTTTTGCTTTTATTTATTTATTTATTTCATTTATGTCATTATTTCATATTTCTTTTTAAGCAAGTACCAGATAATGTGTGTCATGTCACGAAATGTTTTTCATATGACTGAAACTGTAGGCTATTTAACGTGATCAGAATTTAAGAAAAACATTAGGCCGATTAATTAATTTCAACGGTTATTCAAACAACGAATAAATTATATAGGAAAGTGAGCAAAGAACATAAATTTTACAGTATCAACGGAGCTTTTTGAAACTCCGAATCAGTTAAACCATTGCGTCGCAAAATTATTCAGTTTTGAATTGCTCCAATCGTATCGTGTATCACAAATCATTTGATTCAGATCGGGACTTCAAAGCGCGTATCGCACTTTTTTTTTTTTAGTTAATTTTATTTTGTTTTATTAGTGTTTTTGTGTGTTTTTTAAAATTCTTTTCTTTGTATTTATTTATTTATTGTGGAGTTTCTTATTTGATTTTATTTTGCTTTATTTTTATTTATTTGTTTTTGTGTTTTCTTTACTTTTTTGTGCTGTTTTTATTTATTTTATACACTTTTTTTTTCGTCCCCCCCCCCGACTCAAGAGTCAAATGTCGTCCATGACTGTCAGTGTGTGCACACTAGATTACTGAGTGCACTGTAGTTTACGGTGTTACTTCCTTTTTTTGTGTGTTTTTGCAATTTCTTAATTTGTGAAGTTTCACTGCAGCATGTGTTCCTTAAATTAAATATCGTGACTAGTGCTGGGCGGTATACCGGTTCATACCGAATACCGGTGTTTATTTTTGTTATGATATGAATCTAATCGTGACCTTAATTATATATATATATATATATATATATATATATAGCCATATGTTGGAACGGTTCTAAGAGCGTTAAGGAACGGTTCCAGTCATATTTCCACTTGAGCTTGGTCTGGTACGACACGATTACAAACTGTTCTCGGCCCAGAATTCTGGAAGAATGCATGTAGTGACATCGCCACACAGGACTGGTCACTTGTTAGTTGTCTGGCTACTAGTTTCTCTCTGTAACTACCTAAATGCACTATTTGAGCAAAGTAAACAAAAATATCTGATCAGCCTCCATAACGTGGTTGCCATTTACATCTCATACCGCATTTAAACACTTGCATTACCAAGGCAACAACTTACGCATTTGTATTGCGAGCTCTGTTATCAGTCCCACAGTGAAAAATGAAACCATATCCGTACCTGGGCTGGATCGGCATAGAATAAAACGAGAATGGTGTGGCCGATGGTGAAAGAATGGCTTATATAAAATAAACACTAGTACAAAGCTCACTGCCATGATGACAGGGTGTTTTAGGTGGTAACCAGGGCATTGCTTTGGGGCTACTGTGATTACTTACTGGTCTAGGTAAAAAAAAAAAAAAAGCCTCAATGATATAGAAATGGCTATGTGATTATTTTGCCCATTTTATAATCTGCCAGGTAAAAATCTTATCTCTGATCAAAATCTTATGTCAGTAATCACATTCTCTAGCCCTAGCAACCACCAAAACCCCTAAATAAAACGTAATAAATAAACATCTACTGTAAGCAGATGCGTTTTTACATTAAATAAAACTAAAGGTGTGTGATGCTGATGGAGACTGACCTGTAGTTCCCCAGTTTGACCCAGATGATGTCTCTGTATTTGGGTTTCTTCCCTGAGCGGCAGTCATTACAGAACCAGCTGCCATCAGGCATAGCGATGTTCAGACAGTCAGGGTGAAACGCAGCTGGACATGACTCACAGCACAGCAGACGGCCACCTTCAAAACACACATTTATACATTTATATAGTGCCGTCATTATCAAAGAAAATCAAATATGCTCTGATTCTTTTATAAGGTTCTAGGTTTATTTCCATCCATTGCAATGTTTTAATGTTTAATTTTGGATGCCCCTCATTAAGAAAGGAATAAAACAGAGCTTATGTCTTGAAAAACCAAGTCACACCCTTTGAGCAGATAAAGCACCAGCTGACGTTGACGTGAGAGTGGTGACTGTAGCCTTTCTTAGGCCTGAAGTGGTTTGTGCACACAATGGCAGAGGAAGTGATCATCTCACTCCCTGCAGCAACACACAGGTCTCCAACATGATAGGCCACAGGACAGCGTAAACAACGCATCATCTTTCCTGCAAGGGGACAACAGGGAATGTGCTTTATGTATTAAATGATAAAACCAACATCAGCTAAAAAAAAAGTCCTTTTGTCGGAGATTCATTTAGCTCTTTTATATCATTTAACCTGTTAGTAGTGTATAGAGTTTAACCAAAAATTTAATTTATTCCTGTGAAGGCAAAGCTGAATTTTCACCATCATTACTCCAGTTATCAGTGTCACACAATCCTTCAGAAATCACTATAATATGCTGATTTGGTACTCAAGAAACATTTCTTAATAGCAATTTTTAAAACAGTTGTGCTGCTTAATATTTGTGTGTAAGCCGTGATACACTACCATTCAAAACTTGTGGTTCTTTTAAACTTTCTATTCAAAGAACACTGTTTTTGTGTTTCCACAAAAACACTGAGAATAAGAATAATCATTTATACATGGTAGTTAAAAGACACTTAATATAAAGTGGGTCCAATTAAAAAGAACTTTTAAAAAAACCACACAAACAAACATGCATATCTTTATATTGCCACCCCTTTGCTGGCTGAAAGCAAAAACAGCACAACCAGGGTAGTCTGATTCACAAACACATGACCCTTACAATCTGGTTCTTTTAATGAATCGTCAAAAAAAACTCAAACTCACAAATTATGGTTTGAATCAAATTACTTGCTGTATCTGTCTGAGGGGTTACTGAATTAACATCACTGACTGTATGTTCATATGACAGACTGAAATTAAATAAACATGCACATCAGTTTGAGTACCTTTGGTGGCCTTGCCGGCGCCGCGGCCGCTGTAGTGGCAGCTGAGACAGGTGTGCAGGGGGCAGCGGAAGCCTCGGTTCTCAAACACGGTCAGAGCGCTCAACCGCACACAGGCCTCATGGTAGAAGCGGCCACAGTGAAGCACACAGCAACGCCGTACCTCTCCTTCAGATTTCTTACAGGTGAAACACACATGCACACCTGAAAAAAAGTGAAAAAATTATAGCTCACAATAGTGAGAAAGCTGTTTTTTCTTCACATTACCATGTGTGCCTCACCTGAGCTGCAGGCGGTGCAGAGCACCTTTTCTGCTGACCGATCCAGTCCAATACAGTGCAGGTGATATGAGCCACAGCACTGTCCTTCACACATCACCAGATCCTCCCCGGTCTGCTCACACACCTGTGGAACAGTAACACTCATGAATGTTTATTCACTCATATTTATCATGTACATGTACATTACATATAGGACAGATTTTCTTCAAAACAGATTGTGATTTGATCACAGCATTACTTACATCTCGTCACCTTGGAATTATAAGGTTCTATCTGCATTCTGAGCAGTTTCGAAATATTGACCTTCAAAGTTTTTGCATTCCATCTAGTGATATGGGATAAGGGGAACAAGTCTCTTTCATACATCAGTACCAAAATGTACACAACTTTAAAAAAAATATAAAAAAAACCAGTACATAATGTAAATAAGTTGTCACAGAATTAGAATACGTGAATAACTAAATTGACAAAAATGCCAGACAGAACCTTATAATTCCAAGGTGACAATCTCTCTTATTTACATCTTGTTTCTACTTTGTTGGTTTTAAGGAAGTCATTCACAAGTGCACAGAATTCACACTGAACAAACGCATTGAGCAGATTCTGACCAAAGTAAATACCTCTGATTGGCCATTGCATTCAAATGCTCAACAAACATGACTGTGATTGGCTAAAATGCTCAATACCACAAAAACAGTGTTAACAGAAACCTTTGACAGTGTTAATAGAAACCTTTCACAGAGCACTCACACAGTGCACAAGGGCATTTAAAGTCAGCCACCTATCAGCAGGTACCGAACCGAGCCGTTACTCCGTACTACTGGGTAGGGGTGTGCACAAATAGTCGAATATTCGATCTGTAATTATTTTTCGAAAAATAGAAACACTTCGAATTTAAACTACATGTTGCTTTGCTGGCAGTAAATGCAGGGAATCCATGATAAATTCTAAGCACGCAAACTAAGTAAATTATAACTAAATGCATTGGGTGGTGCCGTGGAGCGTGTTAAGTTGATTGTATTTGATCACAGAACGTCATCTGCCTCACAAAGTTTGGAATTACTTTAATCAAAATTATCTTACAAAATGGAATTACTTTTGATCAAATGAATCAGTGAAACTGAGTTATCATAATAACACCACCGCAATGAGAAATCACATGAAATCCAAACACCAGTGAACTGAGGAAAGACAGCTGTCCATCACTGCATTCATGACTAGGGATGGGTACCGAAACCCGGTAATTAATCGGTCCCGGGGCTAAATTATGAAAGACCGGAGTATCGATAAGCTCTGACGGTTCTGCTATCGGTACTGGAGAAATTAAGAAAACACACATTCA